CTATTTTTCCTGGAAAAGAAAATACCTGGAGAAATGTAGTTAAAGATGTAATGCAAAAGCATTAAATAAAACCATTTAGTCAACAAAATTTAGCAGTTAAAATTAAGGTGTGAAGACACATTTGGTGTTTTTTTTTTTTTTTTTTTTTTTTTTTAAAGTGCAGAAAACATTTAAATATTTTGCAAAGTGTTCTTTCCAGTAGAATTGACAATATAGACCCCCTACAAATCATAGGTTTGTTAGTGTTTTGTCATACAGACTAGACATCTAAAAGTTGTCCTAGACTTTGTTTCTGGAACTTCTAAATTTATATCCTTTCTCATTGGGATAATTTAGTCCTGGTTCAGCCAATAATGCTTTAAACCTGAGTCCAATAGCTAGCCAGACTGGTGTCATCCCTGCTAAGATCCACAACCATGGTGTGTGCAAATCCCCAGAAGCTTTTCAATGATACATGGATGGACCACTTAAAAGTCTCTTGTGTCATTGAAGAGCATAGGAGGAACAGGACCCCCAGACCACTTAGTCCATTAACTGAAGATTACAACTCTTGTAGATTCCCTAAGCAATGGGAGAATTTGATGTAGGCTTCTTGGTCCATAGTAAATTTTTTCTGCATTGCCTTATGATTTTTCTTGCTAATATCTGTGATTGTCATAATGTAATGTAGCACTATAACACAAGGTATGGGTAATGAGGTGAAATATATCATCAGTATAGATCAACCATTCCACCCATTGATTTTTGACTTTTCAGTTATACTTTACTATCTTGAGGATTTCTTACTTTATTTTATTTTAGATTCAGAGGGTATACATGCAAGTTTGTTTCTTAGCTATGGTGAACACATCTTCTGCTTACCTACAGAGAGAGAGGGAGCACAACAGTGAGAGTAAAGTAGCAAACACTAGTTCAACAAGGATTTTTACCTTATTTTTTAGCTCAGGAGGCTATTTGGAAGACATAATTGACATGTCAAAAAGGTGCAATTTTAAGAATATTCTCGGCTGCTCTGCCTATGGAGTAGCCATTCTTTCATTCCTTTACTTTCTTAAAAAAAAAAAAAAAAAAAAAGGAGAATATTCTCATTGGCTTAAGAGGATTGGGTCGAAGTATTCTTAATTTTAATTTACTTTCATTTTCTGGATGTATTTTATATGGCATATTATGCATATGATGACTCCAGGCTTCTCTACATCTTCCACATTCCTGTAGATGAATGATGCCCTCCCCATTCCCAACTCTCAGGGATGTCCTTGATGTCTTCATGAGTGGTACACAGAAGTGCTGAGCACATGTTGTTTATCTGTCTTTGTCTACTCTTCAGAAAAAGTTTTAATTTAATTTTTTTTTTTTTTGCAGCAGGTTATTAAGTAGCCAGTAGAATGTAGAATATAAGATATTATCAAATCCATTTTAAGAGCAACTCATTCTGTAAATATTCTATAAATATCCTGCATATCCCTTTTCAGTTGACTTGGCTAAAAGTATTATTTTAGTGAGTAACTATATATTTGTTTATTCAGTTTTAACCCCAATTCTAATTGTTATTCTTCTATTTTCTTGTATCCATAATAGTTTGAAAATTGAGGTAGAGCTTATTTGCCAAAAATTCTAGGTCTAGATTATGTCTTTTCCTAGTGATTTGTTTTTTTAAAGACTTGTTTTGCAAAATTAATATTAATCCTAAAACAAAAACTGGTGGTTTTCTTGTTATTAAATTTTAAGAGTTTCTTATTTCATTCTGGATACAAAGTCCTTTATCAAATACATGATTTGTAAATATTTTCTTTCAGTATGTAGTTTGTCTTTTTATTCTCTTAACAAAATCTTTTGAGGAGCAAAAGTTTTTAATTTTGAAGTTCAATGTATCAAAATTTTCTTTCATGGCTCATGCTACCTGTCATATCTATGAAATATTTGCCTAACACCAGGTCACAAAGGTATTTTTCTGTTTTCTTATAAAAGTTTTATAGTTTGGAGTTTATCTTGCCAGTCTATGACCATTGATGTTAACTTTTTAAATATAGCGGGAGATATTGATCTAAGTTCATTTATTTTTGCCTATGGATATTCAAATGTCTCAGTACCATTGTTGAAAAGGTTATCTGCAATGGATTGAATGTTTGTGTCCCTCCAAAATTCATATGTTGAACTCTTCATCCACAGTGTGATGGTATTAAAAGGTGGTGCCTTTGGGAGGTAATTTGGTCTTGAGGATGGAGCCCTCATAAATGGGATTAGCACCCTTGTAAATGGAACCACAGAGAGCTCTCCTGTCCTCTTCTACCATGTAAGGATACATGAAGAAGACAGCAATCTGAAGCCTGGAAGAGGGCACTCAGCGGAATCCAACCATGCTGGCATCCTGATCTCAGACCTCCAGCCTCTGTAACGAGGAGAAGTAATTTTTGTTCTTTATAAACCACCCAGCTTGTGGTAATTTGTTAGAGCAGACTTAACTATTCTTTCCCCCAGTGAATTGCCTTTGTACCTCTATCAACAATTTGTGTGTATATATGTGTTGGTCTATTTCTGGGTACTTTATTCTATTCCATTGATGTGTTTGCCTCTATTAATGCCAACATCTCACTGTCTTGATTTTTGTAACTTTATTATAAGTCTTGATACCAAGTAGTGGTAGTCCTCTAATTTTGTTTTTTCTCAAAATTATTTTGGCTATTCTAAGTCCTTTGCATTTCCACATGATTATTTATGTATTTGCTTTCCACCTTGGTTGAATGTCAGCCATATGACTTTAGAATCAATTTGTCAATTTCCATTAAAATGCCTGCTCAAATTTTCATTGGGATTGTGTTGAACCTCTAGATCAATTTAGAGAGAATTGCAATTGTAAGAATACTGAGTGTTTCAACTCATGAATAGATAATGTATCTCCATTAATTTAGGTCTTTAATTGTTTTTAGGCAACGTTTTGCAGTTTTCAATGTATAGGTCTTTCACATATTTTGTCAGATTTATACAAGAAATGTATTTCCTATTTCTTGACACTATTGTAAATGGTATTGTCTCATTTCAATTTCTAATTGTTTGTTGATATAGAAATACAATTTAATTTGTACATCAATCTTACATCATGCCACCTTGCTAAACTCATTTATTCATTCAAGTAGTTTTTTTCATAGATGCCATCATATTTTCTATATAAATGGCCATATCATGTGAAAAACAAATAGTCTACTTCAACCTTTTCAATCTGGATAACTTTTATTCCTTTTTCTTGCCTTATTGCATTGACTAGAACATCCAGTACAATGTTGACTTGGACTGATGAGATCAGACATCCTTTTCTTCTTTTCTATCTTAGGGGGAAATTATTTGGTCTTTCATCATTATGTGTGAGGTTAGATATAGGTTGTTCATCAATGCTCTTTAAAGGCTGAGGAATTTCCTTCTATTTCTAATTTGTTGTTCTAAAATCACCATAAATAAAACTTGTCTTCTTTCTTGAATTGTTCCTGATATGGAATCTGCTGTTATCTTTATCTTTGTTCTTCTATGCATAGCATGTGTTTTCTAACAGACTGGTTTTAAGACTTTCCCTTTATCACAGGTTTTGAACAATTTGATTGTGCTGTGTGGGTTTGAAACTTTCATCAAACTTGAAATAATTTTGGTCATCATTTTTTCAAATATTTTTTCTGCCCCTTCCCACTCTCATCCTTCTGAGTGATTCTGATTAAACATATATAAATTCACTTGAAGTTGCCCAATAGCACACTGATGTTTTGTTCATTTTTATAAACACCTATTTTCTCTATATGTTACATTTTGGATAGTGTCTATTACTCTGTCTGAAAATTCACTACTTTTTTTCCTTTCCTATGTTCAATCTGTTGTGAATCCCATCCAGTGAATTTTTCATCTCAGAAACTGTAGTTCTCATCTCTTGATGTTCTATTTGTTTTTTAAAAAACATCTTTTGTGTCTCTGTTTAATTTTTTGCCTGTAAGCAATACAGATGTAATCACTGTTTGTTATTTCTACCATCTATCTAGACTGAGTTTATTTTGGTTAATTGCTTTTTTCCTATTATAGGTTATATTTTTCTTTATCTCTAGTAATAATTCACATGCCTGGTAATTTTTAATTGGATGTAAGCGATTGGGAATTTTTACTTGTTTGTTTTTGTTTTTTTCTTTTAATTTTTATTTTTAGTTCTGGAGTTCAGGTTTGTTACATAGGTAGATGTGTGCCACGGTGGTGGTTTGCTGCACCTATAAATCCATCACCTAAGTATTAAGTCCAGCATGCATTAGCTGTTTTTCCTAATGTTCTCCCTCCTCTCACCCCAACTCCCAACAGGCCCCAGTGTATATTGTTCCCCTTCCTGTGTCCATGAGTTCTCACTGGTCAGCTCCCACTTATAAGTGAGAATATGCGGTGTTTGGTTTTCTGTTCCTGCATTAGTTTGCTGAGGATACTGGCTTCTATCTTCATCTAGGTCCCTGCAAAGGACATGATCTCCTTCCTTGTTATGGCTGTATAGTATTCCATGGTGTATATGTACCACGTTTTCTTTATCCAGTCTGTTGTTGATGGGCAAAGGACATAAAGAGACACTTCTCAAAAGAAGACATTCATGCAGCCAACAAACATTTGACAAAAAGCTCAACATCACTGATTATTAGAGAAATGCAAATAAAAACCACAATGAGATACCATCTCATCCCAGAATGGTGATTATTAAAAAGTCAAGAAACAACAGATGCTGGCAAGGTTGCAGAGAAATAGGAACGCTTTTACATTGATGGTGGGAATGGAAATTAGTTCAACCATTGTGAAAGACGGTGTGGTGATTCCTCAGAGATCTAGAACCAGAAATACCATTTGACCCAGCAATTCCATTACTCAGTATAAACACAAAGCGACTGGGAATTTTACCTTGTTACAAGCTTTTTATCTCTGTAAAATATTCTTGTGTTTTTGTATTAGTTCATTTTCATGCTGATAATAAAGACATATCCAAGACTGAGTAATTTATAAAGGAAAGAAGTTTAATTGAGTCACAGTTCTGCAGGGATGGGGATGCCTCAGGAAACTTACAGTCATGATGGAAGGAGAAGCAAATACATCCTTGTTCACATGGCAGCAGCAGGAAAAGTGCCAAGTAAAATTGGGAAAAGTCCCTCATAAAACCATCAGATCCCATAGAGCTCACTCACAATCATGAGAAAAGCATGAGAGTAACTGCCCCCATGATTAAATTACCTCCCACTGGGTCCCTCCCATGACATGTGGGGATTATGGGAACTACAATTCAAGATGAGATTTGGGTGGGGATACAGCCAAACCAAATCAGCCTTGTTCTGGGACACAGTTAAGGTGTATGAAAATAGTTTGATCCTTTCCGATTTTGGTTTCATGATTTATTAAATGGGGCCAGAACAGTCCTCATATTACCGGGCTAATTATCCCCTACTACCAAGACAAGATCTTTCCGAGTATTCTACCAAATGCCTTATGAATCATGAGGTTTTCCCAGTCTGATTTCTGGGTACAAGCACGATACTGACTCTGTGTGAATGCCAGACACTGTTACCTCTATCCTTCCAGGTGATTCTGTTCCAGGCCTCAGGCAGTTTCCTTCCATGCATGTGCTGATTATTGCTCAGCTGAAAACTCAAAGAAAGCAACAAATCTTCAGATATCTTGCCTGATAGACTTTCTAGTGACTTTTGTCACTTTATTCACTCCCAACTTTTAGCTCTATTTCTAGTCAGGGAGTCTTCTGGGCTCCACTTGGGTTCTTCCTCCCTGCGCTGCAGACTGGAGTCTCTCAAAACATTAAACTGGGGTAATCACAGGACTCACCTCATTCATCTCCTGTCTTTCAGGAATCACTGTTTATGTCTGATAACCAGTATCAAGAAAACCATTGTTTCATATACTTTTAAAATTTATTGGTTAAGGTGAGAGGGTAAATCTGATCTTTTTCTCCATCTTGGCTGGAAGTGTAATTTGATCATAGAATATTTATTTGGAGAATGATAACAGGTACTGTTCATTAGAAAGAAAAAGAAAAGGAAGAAAAAGAGCAAGCAAGAAGAAAGAAAGAAAGAAAGAAGGAAGGAAAGAAAGAAAGAAAGAAAGAAAGAAAGAAAGAAAGAAAGAAAAGAAAGGCAGTTTTAAACAAGAAAGGAAAAAGGAAGTAAGGAAAGTTTTAGACAATCGCTTGTTAGGAAGCAGCAAAATGAGAAAAAAATTGTATAGTTTTTCATGAAGCTAAATTTATTTCATTTAAATTGCAATTCCTTATACTGAGATGATCTATTTGCTACTATTTGTGTGTCAAAAAGTCTTTCATTTTGTTTTTTACCTTGTACAATTAAAACTGGTAACTCTTCTAACTAAAAAGATTAATGACCTCTCAAATTCCAAAGTCTAGAAAAGAGTGGTTGAAATTCAGGGGCTTTTAAAGTCTTTAAAGCAGTCTGAGAGAAAACACACACTATATACAGAAGAGCAAAGATAAAGATAACAAGATTCCATGTCAGAAACAATGCAAGAGAGAAGGCAATTTTTTAAAAAACAGGTAGGTGAGAAATTGATTTCCAAGGTGATAAAAAACTGAGAGCTCTTTGAAAGTTGTTGTTGTATCTCTATGTATCATTTTATTTCCAGTGCCCAGCACATAGCTGGCACTAAATATATGGTTGTTGAGTGAATGAATGAATTTGGTGCCTAACAACATAACACCCTAGGTCTGGCAGGCCCAGGAATTTTCCAGTGCAGCTCTCCTCTTAATTGATCTCCTTTATTAAAGTGGAAACAGTGTGACTAATTGGCTTTGACACAGGCTAATTTCCCCAGGTCACTGATGTGGCTGTCCCATACCCCTCAGTAAACAAGCTCTTGTGCAAGGCTCCTGAGGCAGGGTCTTGGACCATGACAACACAGTTAGGGAAAGCAGAAAGAGTGCAGCATTAACTGGTGAATCTGTGAATATCTGACAGCATAGACACAAAACTGGCAAAGAATTGACCAAGTGGGTATCTCCTGTGGGTTACAACGCCATTTGCTCATTAGAATCACTTGGGTTGCTTTTAAGACATATAGAATCTGTACACAGAGAGATTCACACTCAATCTGGGATGGGGCAAAATTGGAAATTGAAACTTTTTTTTTTTTTTTTTTTTTTTTTTTTGAGACAGAGTCTCGCTCTGTCGCCCAGGCTGGAGTGCAGTGGCACAATCTCGGCTCACTGCAAGCTCCGCCTCCCGGGTTCACGCCATTCTCCTGCCTCAGCCTCCTGAGTAGCTGGGACTACAGGCGCCCGCCACCGCGCCCGGCTAATTTTTTGTATTTTTAGTAGAAACGGGGTTTCACTGTGGTCTCGATCTCCTGACCTTGTGATCCGCCCGCCTCGGCCTCCCAAAGTGCTGGGATTACAGGCGTGAGCCACCGCGCCCGGCATGAAATTGAAACATTTTTAAAGCTCTCAGTTATTCTATAGTGAAGCTAGAATTACAAGTCACTGCATCAAGCCAACAAATGAATAATCCCAATCCTTCTATCTTTGATGATTTCGCCAATTAAAAAAGTGTCCTTCTACTGGTGCTACCAGTAGAAGGTATGCATTAGAATAATCCAAATATCAGCAAATATGAAACACTTCATTTTGGTGCTCATTTTTCTTTTGTAAGTTCCCATTCATGTTCTATAGCAGGAAAATAGTGCAATCTGTTAAGCACTGGTCTAATGTAATACATCTGTAGTCAAATTCAAGTGTTATCATTTCAATTATTATCCATTTCAAAATTCTCTCTTCACACTGCCTTCACTCCCTGCATTCAATTATAAATCAAACTGCATTCAACTCTTGGCGAATTTCCAGGGAAGGAATCTCATGTTTGACTTCTTGTGAAGGCAGCAGGGAGGGGGGAAGATGAGGAAGAATGAGCTGACTGGTGCAGGCAGTGGGGCAGATGGAAGTGGAATAGCTGATTTCAGTCACCTCTCTGTTGACTCCAGCTGCCAATGTCATCACCCGGTCTGGTCGACGGGTACCACCTGCTGGCTCAGTGATCCTTGGATGCCTATGGCATTCTGACATTCACTTCGGCTTCATCCAATCTCAGGATAGTGGTCTACTGTGAACCTCTACAGATGGGATTCCTTCATGTCCACCCAAACTTTACAAGGCCTGGGGCAAATGGAGGCCCCCATACCCTAAGTCTATATTTATAAGAATTATAAATCAAACTAACAAATTGCTAAATGAAGTATGTCCTATCATCCTCACTTGACAAACAGCTTTATGAGGACAAATTAGAAAAATATATGTAAAGCCCAGAATTAGCAAAATATCAAAGACTATTTAATTTAATTTGTATTGCATGTACCTGGGCATTCTCTTCATGGGCTGGCAATGTTTGGATGAGTAATAATTCAGAAATTAGTATGTACTCACTTGCTAGAATCAAAATTTTTTGGTCATCTTTTCTAGCAAAGTCACTAATTATGTTGATAAAATTAATATTTTCATATATAACTTGTATTCTTGTGTCAGCAGTGATCAAACGGATTAAAAATCAAATATAATGATACTAAAATATATGCAATTTGAATGCATTAAGAAAATTTAAATTGGAGCAAACATAAACAAATGTAAATAAATTTACTTTTCCTACATTTCTGAATAATTAAGATTCATCTAAAATAATCAAGATTTATTAAAATTAAAAAGCCTATTTTATAAAAAATCTATTTGCAATTTTAGGATTTAATGTCCATCAAATTTCCATAGAGTAAAGAAGAGGAACTATGCTTCATGCATATAACTAGACCTACATATATACATATTTAAGCATAATGTGAACAATACTGCTATACTCTTCACACTCCCAAGCAGCCTCTGTAGCAGCACAGCCCACACACCTTCAGAGTTTTGCATATACCATCTTTAATGTACAGGATCTATTGCAAGTGGAGATTTCCCTGGGGCCTGCATAATGTCAGCTGGGAGAGCAAATATTTACAGTTTTAGATTGGTCTGTGCCAGCTCTGAGCTCTGATCTCAGACTCAGAATGGCAGCAATATGTGTTCTTTAGCACAATGTATTTGTTGGCAAATGCAGGACCCTGTCAAGCATGGGGTCCATGACAGGGTACCCTTTAGCCTGAGACTAATATTGCTACTGAGTCCCTTTGCTTCCTGTGTGTCCAGGGAATGGAAGTTTGCTTAGCAATTTAACCAGCCAGTCAGCCATCTTATGGGGCCTCTGGGGCCCCAAGAATCTTAGACTCCCTGTTACAAGCACCTTGGGTCCTTGAAGAACTGGGAGGTGATTTGTGCCCTCTCCTGACTTGTTCTGCCCCACTTTCTGAGGCCCTCTGCCTATATCCAAAGCTCTCTGGTGGCCTTTGCTTGGGACTTGGCATGTGCCAATGGGTTATGCCACTTGGCACACTCCAAACGAGAAACTGGGGCCAGTCCCTATGTTCAGATGTACCCTTGAGCTTTGTGGGATTGTCTCTAGGGATCCTTTCTCTGAGGAACCATGGCAAATCCTCCCTTTTCTCAAGGAGTGAGGGTGGGAATAGAATGACTCTAACATCCCAAGATGTCTTCAAGAAGTCTCCCCAGTCTTACTCCTAAATCACTTCTAAATCACCACCTTTGGCGGTAGGAGGAGGGCAAATTGCTTCTCCTGATACACTCCAGTGTGTTTGTATCCTGCCTGGCATGGTCCTCGTGGAGCCTACACATCCATATCTATGTCTATTCTGGTGACCCAGGAATGAGTTTGTAGCAAGAAGAAAAATGTAAATTGAGGTCTTAAGTTATTGTCATAGTTAATAGCTTATGAACTTCTCCAGAACTTATCTTTGGTGGGAAGATAACAAGAAGCAAAAATGCCTTCCTAAAATAGCTTTGAGAAGTTGCTATAACTGGCTAGATGACTGGCCTGAATCAACAAGTAATATCTCTGATATTAGAAAATAAAACCTCACATTTCCACAAAACTTCTGGAAGGATACTTAATTTTTTGTTTTAAATTTTCATGGGTACACAGCAGGTGTATATATTTATGGATTACATTAGAAGGATACTTTAAAATGTGATTCTTCTTTACTGCTATTTGTTTAGTTGAGAGGGTCCCTAAAAATCCCTGGGAAAAATGTTGCAAGCTTGCCTCTCAGAGTAATCTTCCCCAGATTTACCACTAATGAAGATATCCAGAAACTAAAAGAATTGGAAGAGAAGCCTTCATAACATAGCATTCTTCATTCAAGTATGAATTCTATTCAGGCAAGCCAGATGTTAAAAATCTTTGCTTTTCCCAAGCATCTCTTTGGCAGGATTGAAGACAAAAATAACTGAATATAATTTTTATCACTGCCATTAAGATCATGTCTGCTTTTAAAAAAGGAGTTTGGGAAAATGTGCTTTTCAAATTCAACATTGGTTTCAATATCCTGGGCTGGGGGGCCATGAGGATGGCAGGAATTTCTGTGTGTCAAATCTTCTCTACTTTGTATTCTGTTTTGATGTAAGGAATCATTAGGTGTGGTCCTGCATATTGAGGGGAAAAGTAACCTACTGTGTCAGATCTCGGCAAGACTCCAAGTATCGGCTCACTGCTCTCCCCACTCCCAAACTCTCATCAAT